CTCAATAGATCATTGAAACATTTGAGTCATTGCACAATATAAAAAATGATGATATGACACGGTCATCTTGTCATATCACAGTTACTGATAGGTCTGTCATTCAAATTTGTAGGCAGCCAAAAGAACACGTTCCCCATTACTCAAATTCTGAGAGAGTTCAGTGACAAAATTGATAACCTGCAAGTTCAACATCAATCGTTCTGCTGTCCTCGATGGAGCAGTTAGGGGGTTCAGAAGACTCTCCTATGACCCAAATAAAAAGTTTCCGATGACTTTTATTTATCAAAAATAGCGTCGTTCACAAATTTTAATCAAACATCAAATACCAACATAGCATGAAACAAATACTATAAAAATATATCTCTAAACCAAGTGTGTAATTTATCCTTTAACTGAAAATAAATTACTGTAATGTAATCCAAAATACCCATAGTCAAGAAAACAGAATTTAACAACAAAATCGCAAATAAAAAGACTAATACTGTAAATATTACAACAGCAAATTATGAGAAAATGTATCTGACCATAATTGATTGAATTTGAGTTTCTCTACTGTCTGCATGTTTTATTTATTATATTGTGTATTTACATCAGCTTCCGGCCAGTTCAGAGCTTCACCCTCTGTGAAAAGAGATTATTAACAGGCCATGAGAATAATGGAACAGAGCGTTCTGTAACTGTGCAGATAATAAATGCCTCAACTCACACAAGTGTCTGCAAGCTCTGATGATTCATTCTGAAAATGAAGTCCATCTGTGTGATGATCTCAATCATTCTCAATATTGGGCCATTCCCTCAGAAATCAATCACTTTCTGACTTTTCTCCCCTTTCAGTTTCAACAATTTTCTTCCTACATTTTATAGGTATAATATTCAGGACTTATATAAAATGCCGTGTGCCTTGATATTCTCTTTTCTTCTTATTTTTGGGAGGTTTTTGTGCATCAAAGACGAGTATCAAGGAGCCTTTGGGCCTCACGTGGGGGTGTAACCCCCAGGCAATAACACTGTGCATGATGTGCAGTGTGTCTCTTTGCCATGGCACACTCACTAACAGTCGACATGACGCCTGCCCTTCGGCTACATTCACGGTCTAACTCTCTCTCATAGGTTAACATGTAGGGAAATCTTTGTTCATATTTAAAGGGGTGAGGTCAGAGTCAGACAGTGATTGATTTCCGACCTATTGTATTCCGCTTTCTACTGGCTACAGGCCTTCAGGCAGCTTACTGCTGTGGTCTGTAAAACCTACTTAAACGCTGTATTATTAAGAGCTCGGGACCTTCATTTGTGTGTTTTCTTACCATCAGAATTGAGCAACAGGCAGCGGTTGCTGCTGTCCGGGGATTCGCTGCTCCAGGTGTTGTTGTAGAAACAGGAACCATCAAGCCATAACCACTGGTCCTGGAGGGAAAGCACAAGATTATCATAAATGGTTTGTTGCACAGTGGAGACTAATTTAAAATAACAATCAACAAACATGATGAAATAAAGATCTACTAGCAACATGTTAAAACGAGAACAGTTGAAGAAATGACATCAAAGCAACTACACAGAGAGAAAACACTCTGATGTTCACCTTCACTTCCTCATGTTGAGCTTCTCTTTGTTTCCTTTGTTAGCAAATACCCATCATTTCAGATTCAGGGGAGGGGGGGTAATATTCAAAGAAAACACTCAGATATCCTCCGAGATTAAAGATGTAAATTTAGGAGAAAACCCCCACAAATTTTAGAGTTTAGAAAGTCATACTTTTGTGAGAAAAAACTCTATGAGATTCAAAGTCATAAACAAAAAAAACAAAACAAGGAAAGAAAGCAAAGAAAACACATTGCTTCACTTTGTAAGGTTGGATTAACCTCATCACACCACAGAGGCCACCATTAAACACTGCGTGAGCCACAATGTGCAGAATATATTAAAGAATTATTATTTATATTTTGTATATATTACATATTACATTAGCATGTATTTACATTCCTAAAAGAACATGAAAGATATGTATGTATCTTTCAGGACCTTCACCTCACTCTGAGGCTATCCTTACCATGATAAGACTATTTTAGGAGCATGAAATGAATGACTTTAATCTCTTAAATTTGAATTTTTTCTCTGAATATTACCCCCGAATATTACCCCCCTCCCCCAGCTCCATCATTTCTTACCGTTGTACCAACAGGACTTTGCACCATCTTCAAAGAAATAATGATAGAAAAGCAAAGCTCTTGGCAAATGATTAAAACAGTATTGTCGACCATGTCCAAAGCTACACTGAGGTCTGACTGAGGACATTTATTAAAAATGTCTTTTGAGCAGAATGTGATTCAGGGTGTGCAGTGTGGCCCTGATAGAAAGCTCCACAGTGTTCACGGTGTTTCATCACCATGGTAGCTTCAGTGCTCCAAATGGGATTCAGGCTATCTCAATAAGTCATGCAGCAGTTAGCAAATCTCTCTGCAGGAACAATCTTAATGCTTGAAGGAGTTACAAGACTTTTAAATACATGTTTATCCTGTGTTGATGCATATTTATACAGCAAGGGGTTCCAAACTCTCAGGTCATCTAGAAACAAGTAGCCAAGTGTGAAGTTGGAAAACACACATCTCAAAACATTTTATTAGCAGTTTAAATTTCAGAATGTGCTTCTTCCAAAGTCGCTTTTATTCCATGCCATTTCCTGTCTGAATGACATTAATACTGATGTGACATAACAGTCTCCAGCCAACGCTAGCGGCTCAGTGAGGAGCAGTCTACTGAGCTAAATGCTAACATGCTGATGTTTAGCATGTAGTCTATAGTGTTTATCATGCTCGTCATCCTCGTCTAGCATGTTAGCATGCTACCATTCAGATAGTCCACTGCATAGGTGGAAAGTATGACCTGCTGCTGGCGCTTCAGGAGAAGTCAGAGGATCACGAAAATCCTAAAAGCTTATCTTCTGGGTACCATGCACATCTGTACGTTCATGATGTTTCATATCAATCCATCCACAAGTTGTCCCTTGAATCGGCCTAAAGTTGATTGTTACATATTTGGTCTGCATATGTTCAGACGATTCTTTATGTCACTATATATTCTTCAGGTATGTATTATTGAACCCTTTGGGTCTCTATAGTTTACACCTGGTAAAATAGATTGTGTAATCTCCAGTGAAGACCATAACCAGACAGAGGGCAATGATTGAAAGCCATATATCTCATATTGTTAAACTAATATTTTCATAATAATCATACTTAATGTCATACGTAAAATAATATTTGCATACAATCCCTGCTCAAGTTAATTCTGTTGCCTTGAAGAGCTGCCGGTGTGTAAGACTCATGCACGCTTACAGGTCCAGTTAGTGGTAGGATTTAGGGAGACCTTTAGTCAGAAATGATCTGTTCATTAGTGTATTATCACCTGAATGTAAGAATAGCTGTGTTTTCGTTAGCATACAATAAGTCCTTCATACCTACAGTCTCCCTTTCATCATCGTTTTTGTACACGTGATGAAATCCTACAAACTGGTCCTTTAACTTCTTCATATGGTCCTGTAAACAAGATATACTGACAAGGGACAGGATTTTGTTTCTATTTACCTCAATCTACAAGTCATTTATTCCAAGAAAAATCTAAATCAAAAAGCTGAAAGATTTTTGGCATCGAATGCACCTCATAACTTTCCATGATCCATCCAAGTGCTGAATTAGGTTTTGACTGTAAGCAGCCTACAGTGACATAACCCAGCATCGGCCTTTACGGGTACGTCAGGCAATGACAATCAAACAGTAGAAAGTATCTCGGAATTCATTCTTTTTTTAATAATAGTATTTGATGTATTACATTTGTAAAAATATGTTTGTTCAGTAACCCAAAATACTTTTTATCCAACATAATTAGTTTTCTGACCGCACAGCTTTTACCAGCCTGCTTTGTCTTTACATTGTAATAATTATATAGAGGTACTATGTGTTCATATGAGCACATATTTTGATTACTATACAGGAGCACAACCTGCTCATCTGCCCAAATGAATAAATACAGTGCACTGTATTATCGTGCGATTGGTCCGGTGGTACACTGACACGATGTGTCTGAAGCTTTGGCAGTAGTCATTAAGATTCTGTTAAGACAGCTCAGACAAATGAGAAACACTGATTAACGTCTCCATATTTACTGAAGATCATATATGACATTTGTGAATACATCACTTTCCATGTGCGATGGAGCATTTCATTCAGTAGATTTCGTTATGATATAGTCCCACTACTACCCGTGAACAAGTCGTACGACTTTAAGCTTGTGCGGTCAGGCTTTACTTGATAACCTCAAGTGATCCTTTATCAGTTCTCTAATTGATAGCTAACCTCTTTGCACAGACTTTGGTGAGCTTATTAAAAGCTGATGAACTCATTAAAAGCAAAAAGCTTTAAATCAGTTTATCGAGCTAGCATGTACATACAAAATGAAACACTGTTACAATCGACCCATCATTTACCGGATTTAGACTCCTCACGGTAGATTGAGTGGAGAAGAAGAATCATCGGTAGTTTCCCTCTTTCCAGTGCTTCTTGTATAAAAGGTTGATATTGATATTAAGTCATTGTTTCCCATACATCAGTGCCACAGTGTAACTCTTTAAGTGCAGACATATGGAAGCTGTAAATTTAAGCTCCAGGCAATAAAGTTACCATCTGAGACCCATGAAAGAAAAGCATGAGAATTCCATATTGATCCAGTGGATGTGTGTAGAGGGATCTACCTGTAGGTAGGTATATGGCAAACAGCCACAATACCACTGGATTCCTTTTCCATGCTGAATGTGAGAGAAAAGAAAATAGAGAGCTCTCCACTCTTCTTTTAGGCTTTTCAGCGACCTCCAAGTTAAACCGCCTCAACAAAAGCATGACACCAGCAAAAACACTTGAGCTCGGCCCCTCAACACTTATTATATACTATGAAAAACGTCAATCTGGCTGAGGTCTTGCAGCGCAGGCTGGCTCTTTGAAGATGTCCTCATCTCCGATGTCCCTTCTGCTTCTTGTTTCTTGCAGGCGTCCTGATCGGCTGACTGGCACCTCCATTTTCCAGGGACGCAGAAACCGGAGCCGCCGGTGGAGAGGTGGGACAGAAAATGTATGGCTCTCCATCGATGCTGGACTTGAAAGGTCCCGCTGAGGAAAAGCTCAGAGGACTGAAAGAAATAGACACAAAAAAAACAAGAGAGTTATAAGATGGTTTGTAAAAGGATTCATCATTGTATGCATCTTATTTATGAGGACAAAAGGAAAGGAGACGTATCTCCATGCGTGCGCGGTACCTGATGGGTGTGCGGGGGCTGCTGTTGTGTCGGCGTACAGCTCGCGTGCGGGGCTCGAATGAGAAGCCTTCTTTTAGACTCTCTAGGACCGATGGAGCCACGTAGGTGAAACCCTGATAGAAAGTCACAGATGGATAATGTTACTGGCTTCCTCATTTAAAGAGAGGAATGCAGTGCATTGACTAATTATTAATAAAGTATTCGCTTCCAGTAAAGTGTGGTTTCTACTGGAGCCTAAATATAAAGCAGAGAATCTCACAGCAAAGGCGAGCTCTGCACTGTGGCTCAGTGTGCTATCGTCTGGACTGTCCACTGGTGTCTGTCTGGTGAACCGGGTGTCAAACTGGCTTACATCCTCGTCCGACTGCTACGGAGACAGATGGGGAAAACAGAGGCAGCCAAAGAGTTAGAGAGGGATTGATTGGAAAAGAGGAGATGAAGATGTGAAGGTGTGGAAGAATGGAACATGATCATGAAAGAGAAGGTGGTAGTTGAGAAGAAAAAACAGCAACGGAAGAGCCGAGAATAACTCTGATAATATTAACTTAAAAAGCCATTCAATAACATACTGGGCACAACATGACAGCTGATGACCTACCAGTTGTGGCTTGTATGGCGGCTCCACTGTCTTGTCCAGAAGCTCATCCCAGTCGATGTGCCTGAAGAACGGGTGTTTCTGCAGTGGAACAAAAGGGCAGATTTAGAGATTCTCTGTGGACCCCAACTTCTAGCTGACATGTACACTTGAATCCCTAAACACAAGGGAACTGTGAGTCCACGTCTCTTTTGTGTAAAAGTGCTGCTTATGCTTCGAATTGTGAAGCATCTAAATCATGTCATCGTCCTCTCTCTGCTGTCTATTGTAAATCTTTGCAGAACAACAGTTTGAGTTGCTGCATCGATCTATTAGTTTCTTTGTTATTGTGATTCATTGAAGTCACACAATAACACAAATTAACTGGAGAAATGTCTTCAGTTCCCCGTTAGAAAGGGCCGTCTGACAGCAAGCTAACCCTGTGAGAATATTCCAAATATAGTGTACACTTTAACTGATATGGATTCTTTTAGTATTGCTTTGTTCCCCACTGGTTCTCCTGTCTGTTTCTACAAACTCCATTTATTGTAGTAAACCACTGACTGTGGAGAAGAACCTCATACAACCACACTTCAAAAAGCACAACCATCCCTTTAACATCTGGGCGGTGCATCGATGACAAGCATGTTAGTGGCTGGCCTGCCTCTTTGGTTTGCTTGTGTAGCTCCTACTGTGTATGGTGAATGGACTGTACTTTTATTTCTATTTTCTAGTCTTCTGACCACTCAAAGCGCTTTAACACTACATGTCATCATTCATCCATTCACACCCATTCAGCCACTGACGAGAGGGGCTACCATGCAAGGTACCACCTGCCCATCAGGACCATCTAACATTCACACACACCGTAGGCACAGCTACAGGGGCAGTTTGGGGTTAAGTGTCTTGCCCTTAGACACATGGACATGGACTAGTGGAGCCGGGGATCGAACCGCCGATCCTCTGATTGAAGGACGACCACTGAGCCACACTGGTGGAGGGTCTTTTGAATCAATACATCTTCAATACATCTTTGGTGCCTTCACACGTGGATGTGGTGTATTTTAGCTTGTCCAATGAGAAGGAAACCCAGTTAACAGCAGGTATCAGGCTAACGGGGCACTGTGTGAGGGAAAAGATACCTGGATATCAGCACAGTCTGCTTTACTGGAGCCAAGTCTTTGGGCTGGATTCTTCTTTAACAGCTGAAAGAAAAAGGAAAAACAGTCGGGTATGTCACTATAAAGATTGATGATTGTGTGAAATGATCAATAACTTGTTTGAATTTAAAGAATATGCATTTCATGATATCGTTTCTAATGAGCAATCATACCAAGAACATAACAAAATGAAAGTAGAGAGGGATAGATGGATAAGTAATCTGCCCACACTGACTGTATTGTATTCAATGGTAACTTTAACTGGTTTTAATTAAACCAATATTTGCTTTAATATTAAAATGAAATAAGCGTAAAGGCTCCACATGCAGCCTGAACATGCTGTGCTGCTTGGACCAACTGATCCACATCTTTAGAAAGCCTGGTTTATTCACAGTTTTCAGCTTCAATCCTGGCATTAAAGGTGGGACGTTTACCCCCATGTTAGTGCATGCATTGCTTTAAAGAGGGCCTGCAGGGTAAGACTACATATAAAACAAAAGGCTTGCATATCATTGTTCTCCAAACAATCCAGAATAATGTTCCCAATCCAACAACACCATCGATGATTGTTTTTTCATTTATTGATCTAAAATGTATTTTGGTCACCAGCATGCAGCCGCTCTGCACTGAATATCAAAGAGGTACTTTCAGTACTTCAGCTCGCATTATGTACCGCAACTGACAGAATATTCAGAATTCTCATCTTTCATATTGCTTTGGCTTTGTGATAGATTATCAAAACATGGCACATTTGAGCTCCATAAAAAGGAGAAACTCATTAATGGTTGTTACGAAAAAGAGAGAGAAATTCAAACTAGCATATCAAACACTACTAGAGAGCCTGACAGACCATGATGAATGATACATAAATACCAATAGATGAAATGCTCCCATTCACTCCTGCAGCTTAGTGCTTTAAGCATCTCATACTTTTGCACGGTGAGGAAACGTGTGCATCGAGCCACTTCATAGAGTAACGGCTCATCTGAGAATAAAAATTGAATCAAGCGCATTTCCATCAGCAAAAAAAGAACACATTGCTATGTCCTCTGAATATTGCCTTTGTGTAGGTCGATTACATAATCGCCTGATCGCTATTATTTGAGCTGACAAATGTCCTTGAAGAAAGCGAACGCGGGAGACAGAAGAAACTGTAGCTGTCCGGAAGGAGATGTCAGACAAATCTTTGGTGATTACGTTTGGATGCCTCAACCACGGGTCAGGTGATCTGAACTCCTGGTGTGTTTGACAGCTCTAGAGAAAGTTACGCTGGAGGGTCGCTGTCATCCACATTTGCTCATCAGATAATTCACATAAAAGTGTTTGGATAGATCGATGACATGTAGTGTTGAAGAGCTTTGAGTGGTCAAAGACTAGAAAAGAACTATACAAGTACAGTCCATTCACCATGTGTAACCCTGAAGTGAGCATCAGCTTTGCATGGAGGCAAAACTAAGTCCCCCCCACCCCCTGTGCTTCCTGACCTCCGTCTGGAAGCTGAAGCAGGCCCTGGCTTTGTGTTCCGCTGTTGCATCATCACTTTTGAAAATAGAATCAAGCCTCCTTCTAACCACGGTTTTGTTACATTAGGACATACTTTATATTAGCGGTGCTGTGAGGCACAAAATGAACGGAAACAGACAAATCACTCATAATCTATTTGAATGACAATTAATCGTCAACTAAAATTCACAAAGATTGTTTCATCACCCATAGGTAGGACTCTCTCAATGTACAAAATGTTTCTCAGAAAATGATCCAACTCTACGTTTGCTCTCAGTTCAGTGTGTTTCACCTTCTTGATGAGGTCCCTGGCATCGATGGTCAGGTATGGTGGCAGATTGATTTTACACTTCAAGATCTTATCAATGGTCTTCTTCCTGTTTTCAGCTGTGAATGGAGGCTGGTGGAGAATCACAGGAGGGAGTCAGTACTTACTCAAAGAGGTTTCTGTCCATCACAGCAGCAATAAACAGCATCGCATTGTTGGGTGGTACTAAATATTTCACTGTAATATTAGGCTAGGGAAACAGCTAAATGTACCCACCGACAGTGTACCACAACAATAAACAGAGTGGACTCTTATGTGGACACAGCTGAGTTACGATCTGGCAAAACCGATCACAAAAGTGACACTGAAAAGACAAGTGAAACCAGGGTGATGTGGACCACCACTGAGGATGCCTCCTTTTCAAGGTTCTGGGAGAGGAGATCTCGAGCAAGTTCTTATCACACAAATATCAGTTCAAAAGACTAAAGCTGAAACTATTAAAGCCCGTCATCAACTCCAGACACATCCATCTATTCATTACCTGTGACCGCTGTCCTAATCAGGGTTGCGGGGGGCTGTGGGAGGACGCCTACACTGATCTCTAGACAGTTTGCTCGTAATGAATTACGACTCCAACTTACTGATCCGGTCATCATGTCGTACATCAGGGCCCCGAGGCTCCACCAGTCTACTGCTCTGTTGTGACCTGACCTGGTCAGGATCTCTGGAGCCCTGGTAGAGACACACACACACACACACACACACACACACACACACACACACACACA